CATGCTGTGCACCTCAGCAACACGAGTGAAGTGCAGTAATATTGTGCACACTTGGGGGGTTGAACTCCCTGCAAAATGCTTTCCACAGCTGGTCTGTGCTCTGTAACATGTCCAGCATGATCACAACACAACAGACTTGATGTCTTTGGAATAATAATTTGGAACACAATGGGGAATATCCACCACCCCCACCTCACCACAGTGGAAATGCTAACTACATCCAGAACCAACTAATCTTGGTGCACTGAAAACAGTGAGCTTTTAAGACAGACAGGACTATGTACACTATTTATTTCCATGACTCATGCCTCAGAGCAAGCAAGGAATAACCTGGAGCTGATGCCTGCTCTGTTTGGGATTGTAAAACTGAGATAAAGCTGTAAATAGGCAAGCTATTATATATCCTTAGGCAGCAGTAATTATTTATTTAATTTTTAAAAAATATTATTCATTGATTTATGCACACATACATTTCTTGCCCTGGAACCTGGTGGTGTGTAGGGTCCTGCATGTCAGGCAGAAGCAGTAAGCCTTACACAGAGCATCTCTATGGGTTTCTACTTGTGGAATAATGACTACAGAGTACATATTAACCAGAATATGCCTTAAATTTGCATGAAGTCTAGTAAAAGAACCATTTTACCACTGTAATTTTTAATGGGAAACAAATTTGTTTGTTTGGTATGTTAAATGTTTTTCAGGAGTGGGAGACATCAATAACAGATTTGGATCTCCCTCCAGACCTTAAATAATTCTTATTCTGTATATTTCAGAATGTTTAACTTTTGGGTCTCTCTTCTCCAAGGAGCATTTCTCAATCAGCCATGGACAATGGGGCTCTGTTTCTGCAGCCAGTACCACTTCTCATGACGCTGCAGAGTACAACTGACTGCTCTACTATAAGCAGGCATGTTGATTCTCCTACCCTCTCCACAAGCAGCAATGTAGTCTCACTCAGAGGCAAGAGCAGCCAGGACTTGGGCTTATTTGCTGCTTTGGGAGCCCCTCCACCTTTGTGACAGATCAGATTGTTTGTAATAAACCACAGCCTCTACTGTTGGTACTCAGCACGGTCCAAATTTGACTCTTTCAAGACTACATAACATGTAGGGTACTGAGGGAGCACAAACAGGTTCCTTAATGAATGCTCATTTGAAACCTACTGTTTGTGCTCCCGGTAGTCATTTTTGTTCATGTTGCAACTCCCATTTGCCTTTCCTCTTGGAGATGTTCCTCAAGACTCTTATTTCAAAACTCCTCCAGTCTCCTGATCATGTAGCTCTTTTTTTCTCACCAATTCATCAAGATCAGGTAGGAACCAAAGTCACAGAAGGAAAAATCTTCATTCCCTCTTCTTCACCCTGCTCCCTCCAGCTCCCTTTCTCCCAAATAATCCATTAATTCCTTACCTTTGACCACTGGAGCTGGCGATTCATTTTTGAACTTCACCTCAGCATAGGTGATTTCTGATGCCATTTAATCACAGTTTGACCCTGTCCTTAGTTTTGCCACGTAAAAGGTGGGTCTTTTAGCTCCTTCTTTCCAGAGGGTGACAGGAATAGGTTACTGAGCCTTTCCCATACATTCAATCACCCTCTACCCATTAAAGAAGGCTGTGCTGAACACTGGAAGCACTGGTGATAACCCAAGAATTCCTGGGAGCTCAGAAATGCTCCAAAGAGATCTTCAGTTTCTTAGCCCAGGAAATCACCCCTCGCACCATGGAAGATTTTGAGACATAAAAGAAAAATGAGAACCTAACAACTGAAAAGGAAGTTGCACTCCTTCCCCATATCAGATTCTCAGCTGATTGGCTTCCTTTTCAAGACATTTATAGGTTTTTTTCCTCTTTTTAACTTTCTTACTTAACTATCTCCCCATATTTTCAAGTGTTTCTTTGTAATTCTAACATTGCTCTCACATTTGCAGCTATCACAGGTCCTAGCCCAGTTTAACCTGCAGTCCAGAACAAAATGCATTCTGCCCTATTTGCCCCTTGTGGTTAAGCTGAATTTGCTACATCAAATGTCACAGCTATGTCTCACTCTTCAAAGTCAGCCCCAGCTGGAAGTTAGCACTAGAAGAAATCTCAGACAAAGAAGTGTTCCTGTAGAAGTGAGACTGGGGAGTTGCAGCCTTAGAGCAATAAAAATAATCAGAATGTTGATATATCCATGAAGAAACAGAAGGATCAGATGGAGTCAGAGAGGAGAACAAGCAAAGTGGAATTTTAAAAAACATATGTTGATGGTCTGAGAGATTATTGGGAAGAGTACACACAAAAACTTTTCTATTAAAACCTGATTCACAGCCTGTGGAAGTTCAGAGCAGTGCCTGCTTCAGGGTCCATTTCAGAGGCTGAAAAGGGATGGTTTACATTTTTCTGCCACTTTTCCAACACTGTCATTTATCTCCCTTATCTGCTTTCTGGTAAAAACCTCTGATACTATCTTGAGCAAAATGTCAGTGCTTAGTCTGATTTAAAGCTGGAGCAGATCTTGAAAGGAGACAGGGAAAATGGCTGCTGAGATACATTCTAAATCAGAAAGACTTCTGGGAACAGATGCCAATAAGTCAGGCAGGGTGAGGAGGGTTCAGTCAGCAGATAGGACTAAGTTCTGTGTTGTAAGGGACCTTCAAAGACTATCCTCTGCAGCCCACTGCCATGGGCAAGGACATCTTTCACTACATCAGGCTGCTCAAAGCCCCTTCCAACCTGGCCCTAAACATTTTCAATTAAGGGGAATCTGCAGCTTCTCTGGGGATGTTTCAGCATCTCAGCACCCTCATTGTAAAGAATTTCTTCCTTTTATCTTATCTAGATCTGGCTTTTTCAGTTTAAACCTATGACCCCTTATCCTACCACTACCAGTTCCATTAAAAGGTTTCTCTCCATCTTTCCTACAAGCCCCCTGTAAAAGCCTGAAAAAAGCCACAACAAGGTCTCCAAAACAACCAGAAGGAAGAAGCTGGTTAGTTTGGCTAGCCTTAAGGCAGAGCAGAATGAGATGCTCGCAGGACATCCAGAGAGCACAGAGCATAACCAGAGCAGAGTTGGAGCTGAGATAGGGCAGTAGAAGAAAGAACATGCACCAGACAACAGACAAGAACAATGTGGCAGAAGGTAAAGGGAATCTGAACACAGTTTAGGGAGAACTGCCCCTAAGGAGAGTGAGGCAGTAACTGGATGTCTTTACCAAGGATCCTTTTTGTGTCTTGTGTGTCCTGAGCTAACTTTACTTCTCTTTTAGGTATTGTGTGCAAAGAGGGTGACTTTCACACAAGAATAAGAACAGCTACAGGAGAGAAACCTGGTCCCTCAAGCAAGCATGCTGCCTGCTTCTCTTTCCAACATCCTTCCAGCACCATCCTTTGTCTTCAGTCTTGGCCCTCTCACTGGAATTAAGCCTTCCTAAGTCTCTGCTGAAATCTAATTAAGCCCTCAAAATTCTTTTGAGAATTCAGAGCAATCTTCTGCATACTTGCCCCTGTCCCCACCCAACCAAGCCTCAGCAGACTCAGTCTCATGGGAAAAAGGCTTACTTCCCTGCAGGGTTTCAAGATTTCCACTGTGAAGAAACAGGAAACACAATCAGCAGACAGAGAAGGAAGTTACAGAGCAGCTTCATGCACTTCTTCCACTGAAACACATCTCCAAACACAGCCGAAGCATTTCAAATGCAAATTCAGGCTCCAGCTGCTCTTTTTATTAGATTACATTAGAGTGCACTTAAACACCAGTAGACAGCTCAATTCTTCTTTGCCAGCCATCAGAGTTGTTGCTTGTTATCAAAATTCAACCCTGAATCATACTTCCACAGGATGTAGTACTGAGCCAAGGTGTAACAACTATCACATGATATTCCTGAAAACTTTGTCCTTGGAATTTCATATACACTGCTGGCATGTAAATGAGTGGGAGATAGAAACAACTGGACCCTGCAGTTAGTTGTGGTGCTGAAAAAATAATTTTTAAAAAATCTTGCTTAAAACCCCCCCAAACTCATGCTTTGCTTCCTTGCATTCTCACTGCTCTTCCTCAGTAATTCCATTCCCCCTCTTCCTGTGCTCTGCTCACTCCCTTGTCCTCCCACAATACCTCTGTTTCCCCACAGATCTTTCAGCTCAGCCCTACCCCACACTGCCAAGTGCCCCCCGTGCTCTCAGCCCCCACATGCCTCACAAGCCCCAGCTCCTTTTTGGGATTCTCACAGTTCTTTCCCTCCTCACTCATGCTCCAGCTCCGGGTTGCTCTGCAAGCTCCATGGCCACCCTTTGTCCCTGACCCAAAGAGAAGGCAGCAGAGGCACTAATGCTCTTTCTCCCCAGCCTGTCAGTGAAGTTTGAATGAGGTGGTACCTGCAAGCCTTTCACCCCACAGGCAGCATCACCCAATTTAGCAACAGGTCCATGTGAGCAGAGGAAACTGCTCACATGTCCCATTGCACATGCCTTACACTTCTTTTGAAAATCCAGCTGAACCTGAGGAGTTAAATTCAAATTTATAGGCAAAGAGTAGGACCGGAATCCTAAAGCTGTGACCCCACACCTTCCAAAAGAAATCCCATTTTTTAATTGGCCACAGCTGTGGAGGAAGCTGCAGGGAAGTGACACACTTCTTACAAGGCAGTTTGAACACAGAGGGGCAGCTGAGAGAATTGAGCTGAAGGCTGTGAGTCATCACAAGTGACATGGAGGTTTCACAGGGACATCACATTGGCCACCCAAATACCTAGACCCTCTTTAGAAGATTTGACAAAAGGCAAAATGAAGTGACATGACTAAAATGATTTCCCAAAGGGATTATCAATATGCATTTTTCAACAAGCTGACCTTGCAGCTAAATGAGGAAAATTTAAATGAGTGTGACCTCCAGTAAGTACAAAACCATAACAAAGCAAAAGTGTCAGAACTTCCTCAAACCCTTTATATTTGATATACTGCCTTGAGAGCAGGTGAAGAGCAGGATATAAAATAAGCAGTCAGAGAGAACAAGCACATCAAAACAAAGCTAAAATAATTATTTGTCACAATGGAATAAATTGGTGAAATTCACACACAAGAACCCTGGTTTGTGGAGGACTAAATCAAAGGATCTGTCCAAAATAAAATATTGATTGTACAAAATGCATGCAATTAGCAGGCCTGGGCAAGATGGTCCCAGGGATTCTCAGGAAATTCAAAGGTGAAACAGTTGCTAATATCAGGGGTCACCTTTTGCCTTAAACTATCTTTTTATCAGCAAATCTCAGACTGGGAGGGAACATATCAAAGAAGGAGAAGGGGAGAAGTCTCAGGGAGATTTAGGAAGTTAAAGGTTTGACATCTCCAGTGGTCAGGTTAATATAACAAAAGAATTAATGGATAGACATGTGTGTAAGTGTGATGGACTTTGAGGAGAGTCAATATAACTCTTGTAAAGAAATCCTGCCTGTTGTGGGTCTTTGCCTACAGTCTTGGCATCACCTACTCTTATGGCACCTGTAGCTAGCACAGACTTCCAATTCACTTAGATAAAAGCCTAAACCAAATCCATGCTTTATATCCCTGCACCTGGGTGAGAAGAGCACCAGAAGTGAATATATGCCACCTTCTTGGTCCTCCCTCTCCACATCACCTTGCTCCTTTTCAGGGATTAAGGCTATGGAGCAGAGCAGCCAAGGGAAGAGCATAAAAATGCACTGGAACACAGAGAATGAGGACCCAAGGCCTGACACTGAGCAGTAAAATAAGGGATGTCAAATAACAAATCAAAGGAATTCAGGCAGCCAGAGCTCCTTGAGAGCTCCTGAGGGATTTGAGTGGTTAGAGAGAGTCTAGCAACAGGTGATCCCATTGTGTACCCTGCTGCATGGAACTGGTTAGGGAGGGAGGGGAGGGGTAGGATGCTGCAGTTCATACTGCTCCAGGGGATAGTGTGGGAGCACAGCAGCCTCCTGGGATCTGAGAGAAAGGCACCCTAAGCCCTTCTCAGCCAAGGCTGACACAGGCCAGAGCTGCAGGGAGAAGAGACCTCCAGTCAAACCCTCTAATCATAGAAGGTGAACCAGGGTTCCATACAGGTTGCTAAGAGACCAAGGAAAAAAATGGCTTCTATGGAGCTGTGAAAGCACAGGAAAAAGACATTTGAGCATCCAGGGATGAAGAGGAAAAAGGGAAGTACTGAATGGACAGTGGGAAAGGGGAGTGAGAGCAATAAGTGGGATGGATGAAACAGAAGTAGCACTGTAAAACCACACAAGTTTCTGGCAGGTGGCAGCACCTCACCACAGGCAGGCCTGAGCTGGCAGAAAGACAATGCTATGGTTACAGTACCATGCACAACACAGGGGAACAAAAGTAGGAGTGATAAAAAGAAATGTTCCTCCCCAAAACAGCTTGTACATTTCTCCCCTGGCCATATCTCTGCCAAATTTTAGTAAGTGCTGAGGATTTCAAGCAGAAGAGATCATGTCCCAAAGTTACCTGAGCTGAGGGAGCTCAAACTCAGTGCGAATTACGAAGGGAAAGTCATGTGCCCACTCTAGCATGATGACAGGTTACCAAAATCCCTCAGGTGTAAGGGAAGGAATAAGAGAAGGAAGAACATGATCCAGAGAATCTTCAAAGAGACAAGAAGCCCCAATCTGCCTCTTTACATGTAGCATTAACAGAGGATTTTCTTCAGAAGAGCAAAAATATGTTTTATTTATTTATTTTCCCCAAATTAACGGATTACCAAATCAAAGCCAACAGAGGGCACATTCAGATGAAATTACCTCAGAGCTTTGTTTTATGCCATTACTGGAACATTGCACTTTTGTCTCCTTCCTCTTTTGGATTGGAGTCATAAGTCTCAAGGCTATGTTGGAGATCAGAACCAGATACTGCAATTGCTTGCCACAGCATCATATTTGACTTCAAGCCTGGGCCAGATCCAAGTCCTGCTCAGACCCCAGTGGCCTGTTTTCAGAGGTGGGGCTGTGAAGTTTATCTTCTTAGAGTGGGCATGTGGAATTCACACGCACAAGTTGTGGTCACATAACACCTCTCCACAGAAGCAATTCTTCATGCTTCATTTCCAGTTCTAAGGATTGCACAGATCTCCACAGCCTTGAATTCTGTTTGGCTACTCTCTGCCCAGTGAGGTGAATGCATGTGATCTCCCTCTCTTGAAGGGGGAATGGGGGGACTGGAAAGAAAAGCAAAAAAATGGAAAACAACCACAGTCACCAAGCAAGTATGGAGCTGTCACATAAGTTCACCCAGACTCATGCTATGAGTTCCACCTTAGGGTCACTCTTATTGGAACTTAAACTGTTTCCCTCCACATCCTCTGCATGCATGTAAGTGGAAGGCAGTAAAAAACATTCTCGATAGGGAGGTTCTGGGGTGAGCTGTACTGGTTAGGCTGTCCCAGCAGGTGCTACTGGAATAGCAGCACAAACCTCCCTGGCCCTGCAGAACTCCCTCACCCCCTCCTATCCTCAAGGGTGGATTTACCAGGAAGATTGCAAGTGGCCTGTGCTGCCCCTTACCCTGTAGCCAAAGTGGCCCTGCAGGCCATTTGCAGCCTCCCAGCCCAACTTGTGATGGCCAGCAGCGGGGTGATGGGATATCATCTGCCTCCAGATGTCCAGTCAGGATGGGACAAAGCAAAAGCCATCTGGTAACAGCCATAGAAAACTGAACTAAATCCAGGGAGTACAGTCAGCTCAACCAAACACTCCTTGGCACCTCATCAATGAAACATGATGGGAAAGTTTTAATGCCAGGCAGGAAGGCCCCAAGCTTTAGGGTTCAACCATATGCAGGAACCTCCTCATGACACAGATGCCAACACCGTCAGAGGGGGAAAGACAATTTTTGTTTTTTGAAGAGCACACACTCCAGGTGCCTGTGTCACACACTTAACATGCCAGGACACTGAAGTCAGCACAGGGAAGCAAAGGGCAGCCAAATGGCACTCTAGGGTGCCAGCCTCCAGCACAGAGCTGGCACTGATCCAGAGGCCAAAGGGCCCCTGCTGCTGACTCCCTGCTGGCTGGAACTGACAAAAGAGGGCAAAGTGCTCCTCAATGTGTCTTTGACTCTGCCTCCAGATCACAGTTATTTGCCTATTTAGCATTTTAAGACTGGACAGGACAGGCTCAGCACACCATCCTGGTCTTCACAGAGTCTCTGAGGTGAAGGATCACTGTCAGATCTCATGCTCCTCTTCACTGAGCAACCCCCCATGTCAGACATCTCACCACATTGCTGGCCCAGCATGGGTCCCACTACAGCAAGCTGAGCACAGAAGTTGTGCTAGGAAATACTTCAGACTGGAGGTATCTTGTTCAAACCTTGCTCAAATCAGGACTACTTTTGGAGCTAGACCAGGGTACCCAGGACAAGTTATCTGCCTACAGTAACCCTGTTTCTGTATGGGATGTATCACTTAAGGGCTTTTCCTGCTTTTCTACCAAAAAAAGAATGATTTTCAAGCACACTTTGTACATGTACCCATGGTATGGACTTCAGGTTTAGGTACTGGTGACAGCAGCCCCTAACTCTGGGCCAGACATACAGCTGACCCACTTAGCATATATTCTCCAAAGAAAATGCTCTCCTATCACTTCCCTCTCACTTGAATCCAGCTCCTTGTCCCTGACAGCTAATCAAAATGATGATTTGTGTAGCACTACCAGCAGAGCATCTCACACATCTTTGAACGGTTTGCTTAACACCATAAACAGGGGCTCATGAACAAGTGCTTAGCCACCCCTTTAAAGTTAGGCCCAAAGGAATGGAACTTCTCCTAGTTTTTTCAAAGACAACAGACATCCATACCTGTATGCACACTGACCACAAGAGGGGATGTATGCCTGCCCTGGCACAGCTCAGCTCCAAGCCCTACATTACCATGTTTGTGCAGGAGGGCACTGAAGCACAGAGGGCAGTAGAATAGCAGGACACGGCTACATTTGGAAGCAGCAGCCCATCACTGCTAATCCATCAAACTACAAATCACCAGCTGCCATTTCTTTTCAGAGAGCACTCCAGCAGTGCTAGCCAGGTCTCAGGTGATGTCTGCTTGCATCCCACCTGCCATCCTCTCGACGGCTGAGAGCCTAGCCAGCCCCTGGAGATGGAGCCCAGGGATTGTGGGAAAGCCCGCAAGAAAGGGATCCGGCAGCAGATGGCAGCACACGGCCACGGCTGAGACTGAACTCGGCGCCTGCTCGCGGCTGGCACCTGCCCAGCCAGGCTCGGGAGGGCAGGGAGCGCCACACCTCTGTACGTGCCGAATACACAGAGCTCCACACAAAGGCTGCGAGTTACAGGCGGCTCCCTCCTTTAGGGAATGTCTCTCCAAACTGCTTCAGGGCTTGAAAGCTGCCTCTACCTCAACATGCAGGAGCTGCCATCCTACAATGCCTGGGAAAGAAAAGGGACAGCAGGCCATTCATTGCAAGTTACCTGCCTGGCCTGCCCCAAACACAAGTGATGCAAGAAGTGCACCCCAGGATCCCAGCAGTGACTGGAAATCATAGCTCTGGTCAGGAGTCACTACACAACCCAGCTGTTGCTGGCTGATCTTCCTCTGCTCAGCTTCAAGGAATGTCCATCATAGCCCCAGCTCTGGATGGGGACATACAGCTATAGGAAATGGCATATGGCAAAATTAAGCTGTCATCCTGCAATGTGCTTTCCCTGACTATTAGCATGAACAGAACTATTGTCTTGGAAGAAAAAGACCAGTAACAGTCTCTAGAGTGAGAGTCTATTGTTCACATAATGTAATGAGCACTCATCAGACTACCTAGACCTGGAGGCATTACAATGTGTGTTAACCACATTGTAATGGGCCACAGTGCTCTGCTTATATACATTAACAGTCCGTTGTTCTTCCTCCTAGAACCTTGTAGGTTTATGCTGATTTAGAGGATGAGTTCAGATTCAGATCCTTTTACCTCATTATCAAAGCTCAGGAAGACTTTGGGGGTTTTGGTTTCCTGTTTGGTTTTTGTTTGATTTCCTCCAATGTACAGCCCTTCCTCTCCATTTCTTCAGGAGTCCAAACACAGCATCAAGGCTTTGTGAAATCTGGCAGGTTTGTGTCTGTGTGGCTGTGGTAAGAACAGTTGCTGCATGGCTCTGAGACACAAAGTCACAGAACACAGAAGATAATTAATGGGAGAAGGGGCAGGGAAATTACGCACATCCCACCTCAACTACAGCTCCCACAGAAGTATTGACAACCAAAAACCAGACAAAACTGGGATCTTCCCTTTGACACTTGTTTCCTGATTCTTTCTATGTGCTACAGTCTGTCTCCCAATTGGAAGAAAGGGAAAACTTGCACAGGACTCAGCAAGCTGTGCATTCTAGCTGTGAGGAAAGGCATGGGGCCTGGGAAGATCTCCACACATGACTAAGCTCTCCTCCATGAAATGTTTCCCAGTCTTCTGTGCTTCTTTATGCACAAACAGGAATATATCCCAGCACTTCCCTTAAGTGAACTTCATCTGAAAATTCTCCTGCTCTGGAGAAAGACCCTTTTAGGCTCCTCAACTCTTTCTGCTGCAAGTACCTACTGAAAGGTCTGAGAAGCTCTACCATAGCTTATGGGTAAAATGCTACATCTTGTCCCTGCCAGGACCTATACAACATACCCATCCTATTTATGAAAACAAGGTAAAAGCTTTGGTCCTAGAGCTGAAAAAATGTCTTTTTTTTTTTTTTCCCCAGCCACTACAGATACTAGAATGCTTGACAATTCAAACAGCTGACTTCATAGGTTAAGATTTCTTATCTTTACCCAGGCTGTGTACTTCCAACACAACCATATACACAGCTTTGCTGTCTGGCAGAGGAACGTGGAGCAAGCATGCTGTGCAAGATGGCTGCAAGCAGGCTTGATAGAACAATGTCAGGGCCCTGAACATATTCACCTCCTGGGGGATTGGCTGGACTCAGGTCCAGCTTAAGTAATAGAGGTGTTTGGCTTTGAGAAACCTCAGCAACATAGGCCTTATCTATCAGCTAAGTGGACCCTTGCACCCTGCCTGAGCTAGCACAGCCATGCCTGGCCATGTCCCCTGCTATCTAAATCCTCATTCTGACCTGCTCTGATCTTTGTGCTCAGGTACTTCAGAACTGCTCCTCTGCTGGTGAGGCCACTGCCCCTGCTTGCCCTGCTGTGACCCATCTTCCTGCTTCCTCTCTTTCCAGCCAGCCTGTCCTTGCTGCCCCTAACAAAGGGCCCACTTGGCTCACCTTGACCATCTCTAGTATGCACAGGCTGTTTCCCATCTACCAGCACAGAAATAATTGCTGAAAATATCTGCAGGCTGTAGAAGCCTTTAATGTCTGAGATGCTAAATATCAGGGCAGCTAAGTCTTCTCACTTGCATGCTTTATCCACACTCTTACCAAGTCCCACAGGAACCTACACTCAGGCCTTTTTCCATGTTGTTGATTTGTGTTTGATATTGTGTGAGGTTTTTTGCCTTATGTGGAACAGCTGTGTCATTTTTGTGTCCTTTTTCCACACTCCTACCTCTTTGCCCAGACAGAGCCTGAACCCATCACTCCTGAAGTTGCTCTTGTTCAGTCTGCAGGCCACAACAGATATGCAGAAGGGTAAGTAGGCTGTGAGGATCTTGCTGGAGACATGAAGACCTTCAACCTAGATGCTTCCAACGGAAAAACAATTTGACAACTTAGAAGACTCATGACATTTTTTACCCCAGTATTACTTGTTTAATTACCATTTGCACCAGTACATCTTATGCTTTATATACATATATCTTTAATTTTTGCTTCTTCAGCTTTTCAAATACATAATATATTATCTCCAGGATACTAAGACAATACAGAAGAGGCTCCTAGTTAGTTGTTAATTGGTGCCACCAACTTCCTTGGTTGGGGAATTGATACATAGTTGAAATGACAGGACCTCACAAGGATGTGAGCAAAGAAGACAAAGAAAACAAAATGCCAACCCAGGAGTCTGTGATGTTGCTTGTAGACTACTGCCATCTACAAGTTCAGGAGGCAAGGAGCTGAAGTACAGTGAGACTGCAGGAGTGACTATGAAGGCAGGGGAGGGCTGGCAGGGGGAAACACCAAGAGAACCAGGGAATCAGGGTTAAATGACTACTTAAAATACATCCAAGAGCAGTCTGGTCCCCACTTCCACAAGTGGAACTGCAGCAGCTTTAGAGCTATTTCAAGAATGTTGCTTCCCAAAGGGATGGTTTAAGTGGAACTGTCTCCAAAATGCCCTCACTGTAGCCAGACAAAAATGACAAAAGACCTTTGCCAATACAAGGTGCAAAGCTACTCTTTTAAAAGCCTCACCATAAATTTTTTGCCCAAAGGGAAACATTTCCTTGTGAAGGTGTGCTAGAGACACAAAAGTGTTGCTGTGTTGAGTGTTCAAAACAGGAAGAAGCCTTCCAGCAAAGCACCAATGCCCTAGTGTTCCAGGAACTGGGTACAGCCAAGAGTTACTGAGACCAACTTCCCAGCTAGTGTTTTGGCTTCTGTGCCAGCATGAAGGGTAGCGATTCAGCAGTGTGACGTTTCCAGCCTGCCCTGGGAGTTTGCCCACAGTCATCAACAGACTTACAGCCCAGATCACATCCACAGCTGCTGAAGTAGTGTCCACACTGCCTCAGGAAACTCTCCCAAAGAAAAAAGTAGGAAGTCATGGCTTTTTACCTCTTTCTAACTCCCTTAACCACACAGGAAATAGAGGGGGCTTGGACACATTAAAAATAAAAATATAAGTTCCAATAACGAGCTCACATCCCTTTTCTTCTGGACTCAGAAGAAAAGTCATAATAAGGAACAGAGGTGGGAGAATTTTGCTCTCACAGATCTCAGGACTGAGCCTACTATACATTTCTTGCTCAAATGAGTGAGTTAAAAAGGGGAAGGAGACTGTCCCTTCATCAGAGAATAATCTACTGTCCCACCATAATTCTTATTGTAGATATGTAATACTTGAAACACAGTGCCAAGTCACAACACAAGGCCAGGGCTCAGGATAGTGATGCAGGAACATGAAATGCTGAGTGGTGGGAATCACCTGGTTGTCATCTAGTGCAAGTAACTACCAAATTGTAAAAACAGGCTTTTTTTTTTTTCCCCTTAAAGCTATTTCCAGTTAAAACATCTCAGTGACAGTGAGGCCTTTGCCAGGGGAGAAAGGAGTTAAAATGAGAGAAGTTCCTCCAGTGAAGCTGCAATCCAAACCAGGAGCCTCAAGGAGATAGGGTGCCCACCTGGAACTACAGCGCAACAGCAGCAGCCTACTCAAGGACCTGCATGACTCCTCCCACAGGAGCACAAGGACATGCAGCACTACCAAGAATTGCACCAAAGATGGAAGAGTGGTGTGTGCATGGGGAGAGTCACTCCTCACCACAGATGTCATTAATCCAAGAGGGTTTTGTGTTGAGAAAAGACCTATCTCCTCAGAGGTTCCATTTAGCAAGTGTAGCCAAATGCAGCTGTCCTCAGCACCACAAGCTGCAGGGGCTGCAGTCACTACTGAAAGCAGCCACAAGAAGCAACAGCCTAGCCAGAGAAAATTTGAAGGACAAGGAACCCAGAGGCACCTACCCAGCCTCCTCCTGTACCCACTTTCTTCAAGATTCTTGCTTTCCCTGTATGGAAAGACAGGAAAAAAGAGCTAGGATGTACCATGTAATGGCAAGTAGATAGAGGGATAAGGCTACCTCTCTTCTCCTTGCCCATCTTGGGAGGAGTCTGTATGTTCTCTTTAGGTTCAGTGGGATCAAAAATACTAAGTTTAAGTGAAGATCTGATCTAAAAATGAAGGATTGTCCCAATTTGATTGAAGACTAGAGAGGTTTGTGCCCTCTCTGATCCCATTTGGTGCCTCTAGGTCATCAATTTGTCCCATTCCACTGCTTTGATCATTCAGAACTGGACCCAGTTGGACTGCTGAGGAGCCTGATTGGGAACAGCACTGAAACAAAAAAAGGAAAATCAAATGAGCAGATGCAGTAAGACTTCTTAACTTCTGGTTCTTCCCACACCCATCAGGACACTACCCTTCTTGTGTTCCATTCATCACAGTTTACCTGGATGCAGTGCTGAAGTCTCCCCAGAGGTCTGTGGTAGCAGATACTGGTGCCTTGGATGCAGCTGCAGGAGCATCTAAATCTAAAAGAATATCTAAGGCAAGAGAGAGAGAGAATGAGAAAAAAAATACATCAGCTCATGCAGAAAATCCTACAGGCATTTCAACTGTCACCTCAAACAAACTCCTGGATGCAGGGCAGAAAAACTTTGAAGGGACTCCAGCTTTCCCTGCAGAAGTCAGACTTTTTGAGGGGCTTGTTATAACAGCATCTCCTTTTGCTGAATGTGCACAGCTCCAGCTGACACTGTACCTCCAGCAAGGGTACATTGTCTTCAGGAACTATTCAGTCTCCACTCAGCACACCACCTGACACATCTGTCCCTTATTACCTCTCCCAGCAGACATAAGGCTCAGACTCAACCCAAGCTCAGCAATCACAACAGCTGCCAAACAGGCACCACCTTAACAGTGCTAACCACACACTGGGACCACATGAGCCCTACTCAGAAGTTAATGTTATACTCTCACTCAAACCCGTGGACAGCACTGCTGAAGTCTCTGCCTTGACAAAGGGATCATCAGCTATCCAGACACCTCTGCAGGGTTACACTTCTAACACAGCCTCCAGAAGACTTCAGCAACCTCTTTGTTACACTATCACAGGATGATATAAATTGGAAGGGACCTCCAAAGATCATCTAATCTAGTCCCACTGCCATGACATGAGCGGGGACATCTTGCACTAAATCAGGTTACTCAAAGTCCCATTCAATCTGGTCTTGAACACTTCTAATGAAGGGGTATCCATTCCTTCTCTGGGCAACCTGTTCCAGGGCTTCACCACTCTCATGGTAAAAATTTCTTCTTTATATCCAATCTAAATCTACCCTCTTTCAGTTTAAGCCTCTACCCTTTGCCCTGTCACTACAAGCCCTGGTAAGAAGTCTTTCTTCATCTTTCTTACAAGCTCTCTTTACATAGTGAAACATCTCCCCAGAGCCTTGTCCTCTCCAGGCTAAGCAACCCCAACTCTCTCAGTCTTTCTTCACAGAAGAGTTGGTCCAGCCTTCTGACCATTCCCATGGCCTTCCTCTGGACCCAGTATAACAGGTCCACATCCTTCTTGCACTGGGAACATTGGAGCTGCCAAAGAGACTAAAATCCTTGGGACACACCATGTCCCAGAGGGCACTGCTGGCACTAGGTTGAACACAGTTTACTGAAGCAGCACCTGCTGGTGCGTTACAAACTGCTAGCTCAGTGCTAAGGTTTACCTGCACTGCTTGCATTACTGGATTTCTGCACAGGTGGTGGTGTGACATGGTTGGCAATGGCTGTGGAGGAAGGGGGAGGTATGGGAGGAACTGCAATTTTGCCTCCCGGTGGGGGTGGCAGCAGGCTTAGGCCCCCTGATCCAGACACACGGGGCTTGGCTGCTCCTCCTTTCTTTGATGTCATGTTCTGCATTAAAAAAAAAAAAAAAGAAGTGTAAAGAAGAGTCTCCATTGGCACATCCAGACAAAGAAGCAGGGTTAAATGGTCTGCTTACCCCAATGTTTAGTTTGATGGTCTGCCCTTCCTTAAACCCTAAGTCTAATTTGGGACGTGTGTCAGCTTCCTGGGACTCCTTGGAGATTTCAGTCTCCTGCTTCACCCACCTAAAAAGAAGAGAGTAAAACATGAGACCCTGGAGCAAAAAGGAACAGTGTTTTAGAAAAATGTGTGGTTTCTCTCTCCATCCCACCAAACTACTTTGCCTTGTCAAACCAGCTACCTCCCTACTCCTGGTGTCACACAGCACAAAGCTGGGACCACCACAAACCCATGAAGCTGTTTAACATTGCACCTGGAGCATCACAGGACCTAAGCTTAAGACTTACAGATCTGACCTGCAGGGGCTCTCAGCTTGCATGACCGCCCGCAGCACACACAAGTGTCCCTTGCCAGAGCAGGGCTTCAGGGCCACCCCAAGGAAACCTGTGCTAAATGAACATGCATCACCACCCACCATGTTCTACAGGCCAGAGGAAAAACAGCATTCCAGAAAAGCAAAACTCACTTGAAGTGATCCTGCAAAGAGACGTTGAAGTCAAAAGCATCACCCCGATCTGTGAAGCCAATGCCTATAAAAGCACTTCGTCCTAGCAAGGAGACAGGAGGAGTCACTGGAGGTACCCTGCAACTGGGCCACAAATCCCTCTGCTTGTCCTAAACCACTCTGTGCTACCTCTCTCTGCCACACCTGCAGATGGATGCCAGCAGCTCACAGCAGTTCATTGTCACCAGCCTTCAGGATGCACCCTTCTTCCCACGGGGCGTGCTTGGAAACCAAATGTTCCATCCCAGCCCAGCCCCTGGGCTCTGTGCAATGTAGAGAACTTCCTCTGCTTACCCTGTCCTCAGACCCCTTCAGGAACACCACCTGGCCTTTTCAGCATTCCCAACACCATTTTCATCCTCCTGGCACACTCCCAGCTCCATCTGGGTCTCCTCCACCCCTAGCACTTGGCACTTACATTGGCCCCCAACTCACCGGTCCCATCCTGAATTCGAATGACAAAGTAGCGGCTGGAATCTGCCACAGTCTCCACTGCAATGCCAGGGTATTGATCTATAGGAGCCTGGGCAAAAAGTTCTCCTGCAGACAAAGAATCAGGTGTTAAGAAAAGTAACCCCTTCCTAAAGTGTGGCCAGGGCTGCCATGCACAGCTCTGGGCAGGCTTAGGGGCAACAATCATAGTCACAGCCTTGGAGGACACAGCTTTTCCCTTACCTGAAACCTTATCCTCCAGTTTTATGTAAGCGGTTTTGCCTTTGGAGGTGACACGAAGCCGCCCTGTCCAGTCTGGATGGTCCAGTTTCCAGTCAGACGCCCTGAAAGGAAGAGCAGCTGAACACTGACCACAGTCAACCTCCCCAGTTCTGCCCAGCCACCTCAGCAGAAGTCTCTGCCCCCAAACCCTCAAGCCCTGCAGCTGCCTCATGCCACTTCCCTCCCCCAAAAAGACATGGGGTCTCAGCTCCTCTCTTGCTGCTGCCAGCTGACACATGACTCTGACTGGCATCTCTGGGCAAAGGGAAAGAGACACAGTCCAGAGAGCATCAATTCCTCACCCTTATAAGTTTGCAAAAAAGGGGAGACAGAAGCACAGAAACTCACTTGAGCAGGAAATCCACAAAAGCGACTTTTGAGCATTGGGAAGACCCCAAAAATTAATTCATAACATGCTGAAAAGACACTCCATTATTCTACCCTGTGGTTGTAAAATAACACTGAGTACTTCATAGCCTAAAGGCAGCTGACTTACACCAGGCAAAATACACACACAGACATTTTGACTGACCCATCACACTCTGCCACAGGCTCTTGTGAAGGGAAAAAAAAAAAAAGGAAAGTGAGAAAGTAAAGTGAGAAAAAACCCAACTACAGCACTACAGCATCACAGAATATTCTGAACCCACAAGGATCACTGAATCCAGCTCCTGGCTCTGCACAGGACACCCCAAAAATGACACCATGTGCTTGAGAGCATTGTCCAAACGCTTCCTGAACTCTGGCAGCCTTGGTGCTGTAAAATCTACCGGATTTTATAACTGGAAACAAACATCCTTGGCCAGGCACAACATCCGCCTACAGTCTGTCAGGTTCAGGGAGTTCACAAACCCGCTCCTCCAGCAGGCCTGTGGGCACATCTTACGAAGTCACACTCTGCTTCTTCTGGCTGACCAGAGAAGGCATTTCTAACCGCTGGTTCTGCAGCCTCTTATTAAAAATCACCCCGAATTCCTCCTGTTTTCCTCCCAACCACTGCTAGAGCCACCAGGCCAAATCCAACGTGCCGTTATAGCACATCAGTCCCATCCCAGGGATCCCAGCAAACCGGGAGCAGCCGTGAACTCTGCCGGGAACACCACGCTGCCCCTCGCCTCCTGCCCCTGATGAACAGAGCAGCCCCTGCTCCCCCACAGCGCGGAGCGGAGGCTCCCCTACCTTCAGGGGCTGACCACCTGCCACAAGAGGCAATTCCAGCCGGCGGCTCCTCCGGAGCTCGGCAGGAGGGGGCTCAGGCGATGGCCGGACCCGCTCGCGGCCACAGGACACCCAAGGGACGAGGCCGGGCCACGGGCATGGCACAGCTCAGCCCCCGGCTGCCCTGCGAGCAGGGCCCGAGGCAAGCCGGGACCCGCCGGGGCGACCGCGGGCGCCGCACGCTCCCTCACCTGTACCCGCGGTTGGAGGTGCGCGGCGGGATGCGGTAGACGTTGACATCGGGCTTCACGCAGAGAACGGACTCGTACTCCAGCTCAGCGGCCGCCATGTCGGCCGCGAAGTCCGGCGAGGACCGAGCGGCAGGAGCCTAGTGACCAGCGGCGCTGCCCACAGCCATCTTTGATGAGGGCAGACACCGCCTGGGGGCGCCGGCGCGGCCGCGCTAGACGCGGGCCACGTCGGTGAAGCGGATGGAGCCATCTTGGGTGCTGGCAGCGGGGGCGGGAGGGCGCCATCTTGGAGCCGCCCCTGACACAGCAGCGGCGGCCGGCGCCATCTTGGGGCCTGGCACGTGCCGCGGCGGGGCTGGCGCGGCCATGTTTGTTAGGGGCGCCATGCCTTGGCGAGCCGGGCAGCGGGAAGGGCTGGGCGGGATGGCGGGGGCAGCGCGGCTGGTTGTGCCGCCACACGGTATTGACCTGCTCGTCTGCATCCCCCGGGGCTGCTCAGTGCCAGTGTTCTTTCTGTGGTGCGGGGATTAGGTGGCCTTTTGGTAAAAGAGCAAGCCAAAAAGGAAACGCGGAGCAGAGCACGACAGGGTTTGCTGCTGGAAGTGATGGAAATGGCAGCTGTGCAAAGCTTAGTTTCAGGAGTGGGTCTTTCCCCAAAAAGGGTGTAGATACTAGTTTATTTGTCAATAATGATAAGGCCGGCAGCATTTAAATCACTCTTTTAATGGTGGCTTCTCAGAGGAGACTGGTGTTGAAGTTTAGTGCTGTGCAGCGTCCTGTGACTGAGTCTCAAAAAGTACCAGTGTTTACTCTGAAAAGTGGAAGAAAAGGCATAAGAGAAGTTTAAAAATTACATAGAGCCATGTGAAAAATGCATATTTTATCATTGGCTTTTCTCAAATATTAAAATGAATATTACATGTGTTATGTTAGTTATGCTGTAATAATTTTTTTAAGTACTGTGTTAAATATAGTTTAGGTTATAACATAATAATAAAATAGAAACCATGAATGTGAGATATTTTTTTAAGAAAGGAATGAGGTACTGCACCAGGTAGCAGCCACAGGACACCGAAATCTTTCAGAGAAAAAGAATTTATTGCTCTCTTATCAGAAGAAACGAACTTCTTCCCACCTTGCTCAGGCTTGAAGATTCTGTTAGGATTAAGAGGAAGAAGTTGACGATGACCAGACAGAATCCTGTGTTTGAATGGAATTTATGCATCATGTATGAGATGTATGAATATGCAACAGGCTATTTTTTTAAGGGTTAATCCTCTGTTAAGGCGTGTCCTTTTTCAGGCTTATGCTGCCCAGAAAAAGGTACCCAGATGTCCATAACTTTTTATCTCTGTTGTCTCATATTATCCTAATTTCAAATTGTCCAAATTATTATTACTCTAAATATATTACTATTTTTATAACCATTTTATTACTATTAAACTTTTAAAATTTTAAAAACAAGTGATTGGCGTTTTTCACAGCCATGTCTGAGCATTCCATGTCAAGCATTGGAATGGGCTGCCTAGGGGGAGTGGTGGAGTCATCATCCCTGGAGGTGATGAGGCAAAAATAATCACTGAAACATCACTAAGTTTGAGGTTTTCATTTGGTATTTTGTTTGTTTTGGTTTGCTTTTTTGGTTTTTGTTTAGGGTTTTGTGGGGTTTTTTGGCTTTTTGTTTTGTTGGTTTTTTCATTTTGTTTTGGTTTTTTTGTTTATTTGGGGTTTTGAGGTTTTTTGTTTGGTTTTTGGGGTGTTTGTTTTTGGTTCGGGGGGTTGTTTTGTTTGTTTATTTGCTTGTTTTCCCAGTAGGAAAATAGCATTAGTTAATGCAGACAGAGCCATTCCCAGCCATGGCTGTCTAGTCACCATTCTTTATGTTTTATCTTGTTCTAGAACTTTTTAAGATCAAGGACCAGTACAGCATTCAGAATTCAAGAAGAAACTTATATTTACCTTTTGGATAGAGTTGCTCATTGACTTAATTTTTCATTAGAACTTCCTGCAGTGACTGCTAAATTTTTTCATTGAGCACTAATAACTTACTGGGAGCACACCCCTCCGTGTGCATAGTTAGGGCTGTTTTTCCAAGCTCAGTGATTCACAATTAGCAGTATTAAGTTTCACCTCCCTCTTCACAGTGCTGTCATTCAGCGTGCCACAGCCCTCCTACGGTCCCTCCAGGAGGAGAGCATCTCGGATGAGGGAGTGGCAAAGGGCCAACTATTATAAGGCATGTGAGGAAAGACTCACAAACAGCACCAGAACGCCAGGAATACATCTCCCATTCAATTCCATTGAGATTCAGCCAGCAGAGAACATAACAGTCTTCAGCATCTCTGGACCAAAAAAATACAAAGCACTGCGAATAACCACTGAGGTTTAAGTTTTTACTTATTTATTACATTTTTTTAAAGGATTCATCAGAGGTTGAAATCTTGAAATAGAACATTTAACCTAGAGGATAGAACTGGTTAAGGACCTCCCTGCAAGGCAGGGCTTGACTGGCAGGTCCTGTGGTGGTGACCCAGCTCTGTGTCCCTCAGCCAAGAGGAGCCCATAGGAGTGAGCTGCCATCAGCACTGCCTGTCTGCGCCCGAGGAGTCCCCCTGGCAGGATGGCAGCTGAGAATAAGATGAAGCTACAGGAATTTTCCTGGCAGGCTGCTGACAGCCTGTCTGTCTATCTTTGTGGGTACAGCTCAGCCTTGGCCTGTCTTCCTTTCTCTGGTTTTGTGTTGGAGGCAGCATCTGTGTCTTTCACAGACACGCTCAGGAGCAGAAGTCTGCTCTGTCACAGTTCATTTTCCAGACCAAAACCAAAATACTGAGGCTGATTCTTGTATGTCTGGGCTTTGTCATTTCTGTTAAGCAGTCTTGAGTTCCCAAATTGTGAAAGGCGAGGGGGAAGCCCCTTGCTAAACATTAGAAATGCCTTGCCCTGGAAATCTTCCATTTTTATTGTCTTGCCACATTTTGTGCAAATCACCATTTCAGTTAACCACTTCTAACTTTTTGTCAGTCGAGTTCCTTTTTAAAAAATAGACTTTTAATACCCTAAAAAGTAAAAGGCAGATTAAAATCCTTTTGTCATGACCAGTCATGGTTTGATGAGTACAGTGCTCTGTATTTGATGAAGCAAACTGTCTCAAGCTGGTACAGAGGCTGATCTGGATTGGTAAGAGTTCTAGAAATGAGATTAGCTAGGTGAACGTGCTGACCTGGTAAGACATAGAAGTGGCTACAACACAATAACAGATCAGGCATTTCACAGCAACATGGCAGCGTTTGGACTTAGAATTACTTCCAGCAAAGGTCACACTGTGTCAACAGGCAAGATGTCATTCAGTTGTCTTACTGAATATAGTAAAGTATATGTTTATGATTATAAATATATTAATATTTATTTTGAGCACTATTTTATTTTGACAGTTTTGAGAAACTTCCTGTGGTTTGACTGTTTATTTTATGAGCAGATGATATCCAGATCTTGAAATTACATTCAAATGAGTCATTTTATCAGGGTGAAAGAACATACTTGGCAAACACAGGATGCCTGCAGGAAATAAAAATGCAGTTCCTAAAATGTCATGTGAGAGTTTTTTCAGTCACTCCAGAGACAGGACTGATGGTACTTGCTCCAACACACTGAAATAGCTGCTTCACTCAGGTAGGTATCATAAACTGGAGAATTTTGCTTTCCTCATCTACTTGCCATTTATTATTCTTTACTCCTGAAAACCGCTCTCCCTCCTCCAGTTCCCCTTCCATTTTCAAACCACACTGCAGCCCTTTTAGCATTCTGGAAAATATAGTGTGGGCAGTATCTTCTAATTGATTCATCAGTTTACTTTGGAGTAGGACTTGCATTACTATTTTACAGCATTCCTTGTTTCCCTGTCCTCTTCATACCATTTTCCGTAGCTATCTGGGGAGGCAGCAGGGTTCAACTCTTGTGGCACTGTTCGCCAGTTGTCCCTCTAAAAGTTGCTTCTACATGGAGCAGCAAGACCACAGGAAATGAAACAAACTTGGGAGAATTTTAAATTAAGCCTCAAGTCTCTTAGCAGATATTACAAAAACCTGATAAATGACGATGTTTGTTACAATTGTTTATCTCATTTTCTTCTTAGTGAAGCAGTTTGAACACTTATGCATCACTCCACTTTCAGACTGCATGTTGTGCAAGAGTGAGATTGATGATTTGAATTTTTTAAAAATAATATTTATATTTTGTCCTGCATACAACAATCTCTGGCTGGTATTTAAGTACTGGCATAACAGGTTAAAAAAGGGCCAGTTGTCTTATTTATGTCTTCTCAGTTGCTTCTGCAGGCTGTATTAACCTCTTCCCTATTCAGTTTCCTTGCATTTTGGTAACACTTTTTGGCACCTTTCAGTCATACAACTGCCTTCATCAATTCAGCAAGGGTTTAGTTAACAGGAATTTTATAGACAGTTCTATTAATGCCTAAAGGATGAAGATAGGGGTGGTTTTTTTCCCTCAATTCTATCTTAGCTTTGCTGGTTTTCTTCTCCTCTCTAAATTTACTAAGTCCAGGATAATTGAGCAATTAACATTTTTCCTCTACTATGGTCATAGTTTTAAAATGTCACTTAAGTATGCTGTAGGTCAGCTTCATTGTCTTGCAGTAAGACAGCTGATATCTAAAATGGCTGAAAAACATTACTCTGTATTTTTATTTCTACAAGTTTTTATTTTCTACAAGTAAATATCTGTCTGTTCTTCTTAAACATTCATTTCTTATCTTTCATAGAATCTTAAACCATTAATGTTTTGCCTTTCTCCTGGTCAAGATAAGCTTTCCAAGGAACCGGCAGACAGCTCGGAACGTGTGTAAGAAAAGGAAGTGGTCACTGGCACTTCCCTAAAATACCACTTAGCCAACAGAATTTATGTCCTGTCTGTTCTATTTGTAATGTTCAGAAAGTGAAGTAGGGTTATTTCAGAAACATAGACATTGTTTTCTTAACTTAAATGTACTTCACCAGTTATGCCAGAAGAAATTGCTCATTTTAAAGGAAAGAGGAACTAAAAATGCTGATTTGCCTTTCTGAAGCAGGAAGTCAACCAGGAAACACACCTGGGGACAGCATGGCTATCTGAATAGAGAGCTCCACTTTGGAGACTAAGAAGAACCGGATGGAAATCAAAG